TGAGTTAATCGAGTAGACCGAAGGAGACCTAGAAAAATGTGTGAGCATCGGGCTTGGTCTTGATCCGAGTATCCAAGTCGAGCTTATCTAACTTCTTCGGGACAACCGAGATGTGTTTGATTTCTCAGCCGCAGACATGCCTGGGATTGACCCGAACCTCATCTCTCACAAGCTGAACGTCGACCCCAGCTGTCGACCCATCTAGCAAAAGAAGCGAAATTACTCCGCCAATAAGAACCGCAACATTACAACTGAAGTTAAAAAACTTTTGGATGTAGGCTTCATCGAGCCCTGCATGTATCCGGAATGGCTGGCTAATGTGGTGATGGTTTAGAAGGCCAATGACACTTGGAGAATGTGCGTTAACTTCACGGTCCTAAATAGAGCTTGTTAGAAGGATTTCTATCCCTTGTCGAGGATCAACAGCTAGTTAACTCGACAAGTGACCACGCTCTGCTTAGTTTCATGGAAGCATTCTTGGGGTATCATTAGATCTTCATGCACCCCAACGATCGAGCAAAAATGGCATTCGTTACGAATGTCGGGCTGTACAACAAAATGATGCCCTTCGGATTGAAAAATGTCGGAGCAACATACTAAAGGCTGGTCGATCAAGTCTTCACCGAGCAGAAAGGCCACAACTTGGAAGTCTATCTCGACGATTCCATCGTCAATTCCATCGTCAAAAGTAAAGAGGACAAAGACCATGTTGTGGACCTGGCCGAGACATTCGCCACCTTGAGAAAGCATCAAATGAAGCAGAATTCGAAAAAGTGTGTCTTCAGCGTGAAGTCAGGTAAGTTCCTAGGTTTTATGGTCAGCAAGAGGGGGATCTATGCCAATCCTGCCAAAGCACAAGCAGAGCTCAATCTTCCCGAGCCGAAAACAAAGAGGAATGTTCAACGATTGACTAGGAGAATGGCAGCCCTATCCAGGTTCATCTCCAGAGCTTTGGAAAAGGGACTACCCTTATTAAAGGCTCTAAAACTCCCAAAAACAAAAGAACTCATCTGGGAAGACGAGCAAAAAGAGTCCTTTAAGCAGCTCCGTAAGCACCTAGCTTAACTCCCGACGCTGGCATGACCGGCCGAAGGAGAAACCTTATACTTGTACGTGGCAGTTAGCCCTGCCACTATAAGCATGGTTCTGCTAAAGGAAAAAGACAAGGTCCAGAAGACGATCTACTTCGTCAGCCACACTCTGAAGGATGCCGAGACTCGCTACCCCCTACTCAAAAAAGTTGCATATACAGTAATGGTAGCCGCTCGGAAGCTGAGGCCCTATTTTGATTGTCATCAAATAGTGGTCTTAACTGATCAGCCCTTGGAATCGTCAGCCACACTCTGAAGGATGCCAAGACTCGCTACCCCCTACTCAAAAAAGTTGCATATACAGTAATGGTAGCCGCTCGGAAGCTAAGGCCCTATTTTGATTGTCATCAAATAGTGGTCTTAACTGATCAACCCTTGGAAAAAGTCCTCGGCAAAGTGGAAAAATCCGATAAGCTGGCAAAGTGGGCCTTTGAGCTCACTGAGTTCAGCATAAGCTATCAGCCGAGGACAGCCATCAAGGCACAGGTTCTAGCGGACTTCCTGATCGAATTTTCATACCAGGATACGCTAGACAAAGAGAAAAAGGCCTGGACCATTATTACGGATGGATCCTCCATCGTAAATGGTTCGGGGGCGGGGGTTAGTATGTGTAATACCCCGTATTTTTATACGTATATTAATTTAAATAAGTATTTCTTAAAGTATTTAAATAATTCAAAATGAATTATATATGGTGTTTTCATTAGTTTAAAAAGAATTATTTTAATTAAAAGTTTATTTTTAATTATTTAATAATATTGAAAATATTTAATTTCGTGATTTAGAAATATTTGGGCATATTATTTTATAAAAAGATAATTTTAAAAGTCAATGAATTTTAAAGAAAGTCAAAATACTAGTTTGACTAGGAAAGGGATCATTACAGGTAGTAAAGGAATTTTAAATAGGAGGGATATTGAGAGAGGGTATAAATACCCATCATATGCCTAAGGTGGAGTGCACCCAAAGGTAAACTCTCTCTCTCCTCTTATTTTCTTTTCCCCTTAATTTTTCCCCTTCCCCTTTATTTTATTTTAGGCTTCAATCACCACCCACACACACACCACCACCGTCGGCCACCACCACGGCTGCCCACCGGCCATCCGGCCACCACCACAAGCACTCGCTGGCAGCAGCAGCCACTAGGCGAGCGCGGCAGCATCCGGCCTTGGTGGTTGTGCGCCGGTGGTGTTAAAAAAAAATTAATTTTCTTTTTTATTTTTAATTAAATCTACCCTAAATCTAATTATTGTTTTTGGGTTTTGTGATGATTTTATGATGTTTGATAATAAGTATGATGTATATAAATTTTCAGATTTTGGTTTTGAATTAAAAAGCCCTAAATTGAAAACCCTAGGTTTCTAAATTAATGTATATTGATGGAATTTGATTGTAGGTGATTTAAATTATTAAATTAGATGTTTTTAAACATAATTACAGCAATTTTACTTGGTTTAATAAAGCTAGAATTTTTATATATAACCTATAATTATGTTTCATGAATGGATTTTTAATTACCTATTAGTTGGGAAAAAAAGTAAGAGTTTTGAATAAAATTTTAGATTATTTTAGAGGGTTTATGAGTGATTTAAAGAGTGTGTATATTGCTGGAAATTTGTGTGGAAAAGGTATTAATACTTCTTTGTAATTTTGGTTTGTAGGAGACTTTCAAGTGAGTGATTTTATTTAGTCGTGGCGATTTTGAGATCATATTCAAGGTACGTTCACGTACTTGGTATTTATTTGAATGTGTAGAAGCATGCTAGGATATGATGAATTGATTCCAAGTAGTATCATGATAGGTGTTGATTGGAATTTGTGATTAAATTGATGTTGGTGAATGATTTGTGATGTATGAATTATTTATGGTGAATTAGTGATTGGAATTAAGTATGTTGGCATGTTGGATATGAACCACACTTATATTATTGGCATGCTAGAGAGCATGTTTAGTTAAACTAAATGTTTAATTTGGTTTGGAATATTGAAAGGGAATTTTATTATGGTTCATATAATTTTTATTGATGCTATAAGCATGAGGAAGGAGCTATTTAAGTTCTTAGTACACAGGTTTAAATTATATTGCGGTGCCTACGTGCACTTAAGGTGTTTCTAACATCGAGGGATAGGATTTGCGGCGCATTATGCGTTTAAGGTGTCTTTGACACTGAGGAAGTTTAAAAGGATTCAACATTAAATTATATGGTCACTAATTATTCAAGAAATTAATTGGTATGTTTGATTGCTTGAATGAATTGTAGTGTTTGATTTTGCTATGGTTTGAGAGTCATCACCAAGTATAACAATATGTAAACAACGTAAAGTGAAAAAGATTACACACTAAAACTCTTGGAACGTATATACCTTGAGTATGAACATATGGGGGGAATTATGCGACTTTATATTTGACCATAACTTCTATTGGGAGTACAGGACGCTGTTATTTTCTTTTTATTTATTTTATGCACAGGACGTCCAGTCATTTCATGTGACATTTGCCTACCCCATTAGCTCCCGGTGTAGTTTACCTCATTTTATTTTGGGGCAGGAATTTGGTTGGAAACCCGTTCGATGTGTAATCAAAATTAAATGGAAATTGATATTTGTCTAGTTAAGTGTTGAATGTTTGTATGCTTGTAAACACGTGCAACAAGGTAAGTTGTGTGATGATAGGATGAAAGCATGTTAGTGTGTTTTAGTTACGCTTATGTACTCAGCATTGCTGATTGTGTGTTTATATGTTTGTTTGGCCTATTCTTTACCTTGGCCCTACGACGACCCATATCTAATGGCGAGTAGTAGGGATAAGTAGAGAGAAGCTTTTCAGGTGGTGAAGCATTTTCATGATGGGCATGAGTGAAGAGCGAATCATGCTTAGTTTCCATAGAAATGTGATGTGTTTTTATTGCTTTGAATATTATTTATTTTACTATGCTCACGAGACTAATGCAAAGGTTTTCGGTATTGTTTGGTTTTAAGAGCCTACAATGGTTCCAAGTTGTAGGTTGACTTTGTTTGACTTTCGTTTTACTTTACTTTTGTTGGGTTTGACTTTTAAAGTTGACTTGTTTTGAAATGGTTTTAAGGAGAGTCTTCCACTGTGTGTGTCTTTGATAATTGCCTTAGCCGTTTTCACGATTGGCAATAATGTCTTAGAATTTCCTACTACGTATTTTAAAAGGGCAAAATAAGTATTTTAAAGGAAAGGAATTTCTAGGGTGTTACAGTACATACCTCGCCTGAAGGCAAGTCCTTTGAGTATGTACTCTAATTTGCATTTTGAGCTTCGAACAACGAAGCAAAATATGAGGCAACAATTGCTGGCCTAGAATTGTGCATATCACTGGAAGTCGAACATGTCTGCTTGAAGACAAACTCTCAACTCGTTGCAAATCAGATCTGAGGCAAGTACGAGGCGAAAGAGCCCTCAATGATTGCTTACCTCATAAAAAATCAAAATGACAATTGCGAAGCTAAGAACTTTTGAAGTCGAGCTGATCCCAAGGTGTTAGAACGCACAAGCCGATGCACTCTCCAAAGTTGCAAGTTCAACTCTAACCGAGCTGAACCGATTTGTTTATGTGGAGATGCGACGAGAAAGAAGTCTTGATGAAGCACCTGAAATCTGCTGCATCACACCAGAGCTGAGCTGGATGGACCCCATTTTAGCTTACAAACTTCGAGGAGAAATTCCCGAGGACATAAATTTAGCCTCCAAGTTGAAGAGAATCAGCTCAAGATTCATCGTCTTTAGAGGAGAGCTACTGAAAAAATCATTCTCAGCCCCACTGCTGACATGTGTGGGACCAACAGATGCTGACTATATCCTTCGAGAAATTCACCTCGGTATCTCTAGAACCATAGCTGAGGAAGAACTTTGGCCTAGAAGGCATTAAGGGCGGGATACTAATGGCCTACCATGATCCTGGATGCAAAGGAGCTAGTAAAAAAATGCAAAAAATGCAAAAAATTTGCACCAGTTATTCATCAGCCAGCCCAAGACTTCCAACCGATCCTGAATCCTTTTCCATTTGCTCAATGGGGACTAGATATCTTGGGGCCATTTCTCGATGCTCCATACTAGAAAGATGGCTGATAGTCGGCATTGACTATTTTGGCAAATGGATCGAGGCCGAGGCAGCTTCGAACATCATCGCGCAAACTTTGCAGAATATCATCACTCGCTTCGGAATCCTGAAGGTGTTCGTCTTTGATCATGGAAGGCAATTTGATAATCTGTCGCTAAGGCAATACACTGATCAGTTCGGCACAAAGCTGGCTTATTCTGTGGTCTGCCATCCGCTGAGCAACGGTCAAGCCGAATCAGCAAACAAGCAGATTCTCAATGATCTCAAGAAAAGGGTGGAGGATCAAAAGTCCAAGTGGATAGAGGAACTCCCAGTTACCCTCTGGTCACTTCGGACAACTAAAATAGAGGCTACGGGACATTCACCATTTGAATTAGTATATGGATCTGAAGCCGTGCTTCTAGTGGAAATAGGCACTGAAAGTCTGCGAGTACACCACTTCTCAGTCAAAGAAAATGAACATCTTCTTAAAGAATCCCTCGATTTTCAAGACGAAGTCAGAGATTTGGCCCGAGACATAATGGCTGCATACAAGCAAAGAATCACCAAGTTCCATAACCGAAGGGTTAATGCAAGACCACTCAAAATTGGGGACTTGGTTCTTCGAAATGTTGTAGCTGTATAAAAAGGTCGCATTCATGGGAAACTCTCGGCCACTTGGGAAGGACCCTATGAAGTTTACGATGAGCTTCAGCCCAGAACCTATCGACTTCTCCAGTTGGATGGAACCAAGCTGAAGAACCGCTGGAATGCTGATGTACTGAAAAAATTCCATGTATGAGCCCTACGGGGAGAACAATCTATGTAAGTGAATCTTTTGAAATTAATGAAAGGCCTTTGAGCCAGCATTATGATCAATTTCACAAGTTTCTACTTTTCGTTTTTATGTTTTTCAAAGGATTTCTTTCAGCACTGTCCCAAGTATAGCCCAATAGTGGCATTGTACTTCGGATTGCCTTAAAACTCGCCAAACTAGGAACAATGATTTTGCAGCCGAAGTATAGCAAGCTAAAGGCACAATACTTTGGATAAATTAGTTCCTTGGGGCAAAGGGGTCGTGGACAAATCTGAAGCATAGCCAACCACGGGCATTGTGCTTCCGAAGAGTCATATCCAAAGCATAGCCAACCGCTGGCATTATGCTTTCGATAGTCATTCCCCCGAAAAATTTATTAAGGATCGAGAGAATACTGCTCTTTGATTCCATGACTTCCGAGCAACGAACTCATAGATTCTTCAAAAAAAAAAAAAAAAAAAAAAGAAGAAGAACTCTAAAAAAATTTGCTAAGTGGTACAAAGTAGGACAAAGCAAGACTTTGTTTGTACAAGCAAACTCAAGAAAACACCTTAGAATTTAGAAAAATGAGACTTCAAAATTCTAGGGAGCAAGGAGCACTCCGACAGACAACTCAATCTTACTCTTCCTGCAAAATGGGACCAAATAGGCCCAAGGCAAAGCTCAACACTTAGAAAATTTTTGCAAAACAAATAAAAGCACAAGTAGCATGACTAAATTAAATAAGAAAGGAAATTGGAAGGGAAAGCAGTGCATTAAAAGCAAACAAGTTATGCTCGGATCACCGAGCTACAGAAATTCAAGTTCAAAAAATCAAGGAACACACGTTCTAAATCGGCAACCGTCTACAAGACTAAAAAATACAGCTACCTAGATAAGTTTAACTAGTTAAAGTTCAAAAGCAAATAAAAGAGCTTGTACACAAGGCAAGCTGAAGCAAAAGGCAAAAGGCAAAAACAAACGCAACATATTCAAGTAGAGCACTAGGATGATCCGCAAGATTCTGCAGACGACTGCATGAATTCCTATGCTTCAGCATTCTCAGGATCCGGATGAGGAGCAGCAGTGTCTTGGCCAGTTGAGGTTGTAGTAGCCGAGGACGAAGCAGGTCTAGCCAAGGCTCTCTCAGCTTCCTTCTTCCAAGCTTCTTCCCTCTCTCTCCTCTCTGCTGCTTCCTTTTCCTAAGCTTCATCTTCGGCCTGACGGGTCAGGAAGTCAATTTTAGCTTGGCTAGGGTTCACTAGATGAACATCTTGGTCATCCGAAGCCTAAGTCTCCACTTGATCCCAGTCGATGTTAGGATCGGAACAAAAGGCTAGTCGTCAAGTGAAATTAAATCCATTCTCATAACCCTCATCATATTCAGCCTCGGTGTAGACCCGCACCTTCAGCAGCTCTTAAGCCTTCTCGAGCTCGGCCTGGGTTTTGGAGGATTCTTCCTGCTGTGCCTTCAGCTCATTCTAGATTCGCTGAATTTCATTTTTCAGATCGGTTTGCATTTTTAGCGACTCCTCCTCGGCTGCAAGAGACTTTTGCCAAAACTCCTCGGCCATCATTTCCATTTCCTCCTAAATCTCTTGCATCCGAGACTCTAGGCCAGGAATGTCCTCAACCTCGTATTTCCTCAACAACTCGTACCCCTGGTCCATAACAGGAAATACATATTTCTCTAGGTTATTGAGGACAATGTCTGCACTCTCCTTGGCTACTGCAGCCTCTTCCTCAGCAGCTTTGGCCTTAATTTCGGCAAGGTAGGCCCTAATCTCAGCTTCCTCTTGCTTGAACCGAAGCTCGTTGTTCACTCTGACAGCCAAGGTATGGTTTTGTATAGCCTGTAGAGATTAAATATAAGTCAGCCAAAGCAAAAGAGCTTGAAAAAAAAAACTTAAGTAAAAATGCTTAAGTGTTAGGAACCTTACTGGCATTAGCAGCCTCTGAGTCTTGGCAAATGGGTCAGGAACCCTTACACTTGGCTCCGCTATTCCGGCAATAGTCTGAAGAGACTAAGTCTTCGCTGCTTAGACTGGCCTGTCAGATCACCGAAGAACACAATACCAGAACTTCGGTGTGACCAAAGTATGTCTCTGGTACTGTCAGGGACATGAAGCAAAGGAGCTGAAGCAAATCCCATGTCCGTAGACTGAAATGTCTTAAAGGACTGGTCCATAGAATTTGAAGGCGCTTCATCAGCTCCCTTCACAGTCTCAACACCCTTCGGGGCCTCAGCACCGAACCCCTTAGGTTCCCCATCCAAGATCTTTACCTCTTCTTTGGGGTGGTCAAGAAAGTCCTCCAGGACGTCAGCCTCGCGCTGAATCTCCTTGGTGAAAGGTCCATCCTTGATGCTGAGGAGATGCAAGAGGGGTCTTGTCCTTAGATTAAGCTTCCTAAGCTTCGGCCAGCAGCTCAGGAAGAGAGATATGCTCCTTAGCTTTCTCTTTAGCCTCCTCTATAGTTGGCCTAGGAGGAATGATCTGCTACTCTAGTTTTCCTCCTCGGCCCGAGGATTTTTAGAAGGAACAAGGGTTCCTAGATATTGCCCCAGTTTGATGACAACTCTTCTCTTCCTCCCAGACATATCTTTTTTGGGAGACGAGCTTTAGTTAACCTAAACCGCCTTTCAGCAACGATGGCGGGGGACTCAAAGCTCCCTTCGCCTCTGTCCCTCTTTTTTTCGTCAGACTACAGAAGAAGGAACAAGAGGGGCAGAGAGCGGTATAAGCACAAAAAAAACAACAACAACAAGAAGCAATCAGAAGAAAAGTTAACGCCGAAAGCTTACCGAAGTCTTGAGAAGACGCTCGTTTTTGTCTTCGTCCTCTTTAACTCCTAGAGCAGCTTGCTCAGCTCGCTCGGCAACAGGAGTAGAAGTCCCAGCAGCGGAAGAAGCGCGGGCTGCAGCTGCCTCTTCCTCAGCTTGAAGAAGGAAGAATGGGTCACGCTTATCCTACCAACGTTTTCGCTGCTCGTATACAGCAGCACTGACGATCTCAAACCTTTTGGCGCGCAGGCTGAAGGGTCGATCCTTCGGATCGGTGATAGGAGGCAAATTTGTGATCGGATCTCTCTCCTAAGTGATGCTAAGCACCTCGTACCTAATGCCCGAATTCTCTTCACACAACACTAAATAGGCAAAGCAACAGTTAGTCTTGCAAAGAAAGGTTGAGAGCAAAAGAAAAACCAAAAATAAATGAAGTCCTCGGCCTTAGCCGAGCTCCTTGCCACCTTGGTACTTTCGGCTGAGGTTGACTACAACAAGCATCTTCTCGCTGAAGATGTAGTGGCAACAAGGCCGCCAGGTAGTGGGAACAGTCGTCATTCGGCCCGTGGCCCCAAGCATATCGCCCAAAATGGTTCAGCTGCATCTAGTCTAACACTACTACAAAAATAGGCGAAGAGACCCGTCCAAACATGCCTCAGAGACCCCATGTGGATGGGTCTCTATCTCAGAGGTTTGTTTGATAAACAGGCCGCCTCATCATGGGGGGTCTATTTTTTAGAAAGAAGAGACCTATTATTAAAGAAAGGGGGTCTTTTATACTAACGATATAAAGTGTAATTCAATAAGCGAAGAGACCCGTTATTAGGGAAATAGGGTTTGTTTGAAGAATAAAAAGAGACTCGCCATTAAAGAAATGGGGTCTTTTGCCCGAATTTTTTCCAAAAAAAAGTATTTTGATAAAATCCATTATAAGAACGAATAAATTTGAATACATAAAATAAAAGAACAATAATCCTTTAAAATATGTAGAATTTCCAATATCGTTCAACATTTATACAACAACAATTCACAATAAAATTACACTTATTACAACAATGATCATAAAAAAAGCTCAATACTTATAATTAATCCAATAAAAAATCAGGCCATTCGTTCCTAAGAATCTCAATTGAAGCAATTTTAGCAATACATCATGAAAGATAGTTGTATATAATTGTGTTGAATGATGTTACAAACAGTATGGTGTACAACCTATATTTATACAGTAAGTAGCATAACAAAGTAAAGGAGAATTGCGTCTAGATACATGCATACACATAATTAGCAACTGAATAGCAGAAGCAAAGGAGGCCGCCCTTGAATATAGGCGTGGTATATGTTCAGGATAATATTTATCATTATGAAGATAATGTCAGCATTATCACTTTGTTGTGGTATCCTTATCATGCCCCCGCAAGATGGACGGTTGGTCAGTGAGTCCGATCATGGTTAGTAGAATGTCTAGGCGCGGTCGAGACAATGGCTTGGTTAGGAAGTCCGCAAGTTGGTCACTGTTGAAACATGTACCACACGTAAATGACCTTGCTGCACTTGTTCTTGAATGAAATGATATGATACTGCCACATGCTTCATTTTTTATTGAAAAACTGGGTTTGCACTGAGATATGAAGCACTAAGATTGTCACAGAAAATAACGAGGGTGCAAGGTAGTTTAACACCCAATTCAGTGAGTAGATTGTGAACCCACATTATTTTAGCTGTTGTAGTAGCTACAGACTTGTACTCCGCTTCAGTGGAGGATATTGCTAGTGACCTTTGCTTTTTAGAACACCAAGTGATAGGAGTACGTCCTAGAAAGATGACATGGCCCATTGTTGATGTATAGTCATCACGATTGCTAGCCCAGTCGGCATTCAAGAAGGCATGCAAAACAGGTGTAGTGTCACGGTATATAGTAAAGCCTTTATCAAGAGTCCCACTTAGGTAACGGAGTAGACGCTTGAGGGCAATCCAGTGAGCAGTTGTCGGGTAGTGCATAAACTGGGATAATTTGTTGACAGCAAAGGCAACATCTGGTCTCGTAAGAGTGAGGTATTGCAAGCTACCA